TATTGGTCTGTAATTTTCTTTTTTTGTGGTGTCTTTGCCTGGTTTTGGTATTAGAGTGATGCTGGCTTCATAGAATGAGTTTGAAAGTATTCCCTCTTCTACTCTTTGGAAAACTTTAAAGAGGATGGGTATTAGGTCTTCACTAAATGTTTGATAAAATTCAGCAGTGAAGCCATCTGGCACATGGGTTTTGTTCTTAGGTAGGTTTTCGATTACTAGTTCAATTTAGTTGCTGGTAATTGGTCTGTTCAGATTTGCTGTTTCTTTCTTGGTCAGCCTGGGAAGGTTGTATTTTTCTAGAAAGTTGTCCATTTCTTCTAGGTTATCCAATAGTTGGCATATAATTTTTCATGGTATTCTCTCATAATTCTTTGTATTTCTGTGGTGTCCATAGGGGTTTTTTCTTTCTCATTTCTGTTCTGTTTATGTGTGTAGACTCTTTTTTTCTTGATAAGTCTGGCTAGCGGTTTATCTATTTTGTTTATTTTCTCAAAGACCCAGCTTTTGCTTTCACTGATTCTTTCTATTGTTTGTTTTATTCTTCTTGATTTCATTTATTTATGCTCTAATCTTTATTATGTCCCTCCTTCTATTGGCTTTGGGCCCCATTTGTTCTTTTTCTAGTTTCATTACTTGTGAGTTTAGAGTGCTCATATGGGATTGTTCTTCTTTCCTGAGGTAGGCCTGTATTGCAATATACTTTCCTCTTAGCATGGACTTGGCTGCATCCCACAGATTTTGTGGTGTTGAATTATTGTTGTCATTTGTCTCCATATATTGCTTGATCTCTGTTTTTATTTGGTCATTGATCCATTGATTATTTAGGAGCCTGTTGTGAAGCCTCCATGTGTTTGTGGGATTTTTCATTTTCTTTGTGTAATGTATTTCTAGTTTCATACCTTTGTGGTCTGAGAAACTGGTTGGTACAATTTCAATCTTTTTAAATTTACTGAGGCTCTTTTTGTGGTCTAATATATGATCTATTCTTGAAAATGTTCTATGTGCAGTTGAGAAGAATGTGTATTCTCCTGCTTTTGGGTGTAAAGTTCTGTAGATGTCTGTTAGGTCCGTCTGTTCTAATGTGTTGTTCAGTGCCTCAGTCTCCTTACTTATTTTCTGTCTGGTTGATCTGTCCTTCAGATTGAGTGGAGTGTTGAAGTCTCCTAGAATGAATGCATTGCATTCAATTTCCTCTTTTAATTCAGTTAGTATTTGTTTCACATATGTAGGTGCTCCTGTGTTGGGAGCATAGATATTTATAATGGTTATATCTTCTTGTTGGATTGACCCCTTTATCATTTTGTAATGTTCTTTGTCTTTTGTGACTTTCTTTGTTTTGACGTCTATTTTGTCTCATACAAGTACTGCAACTCCTGCTTTTTTCTCTCTATTAGTTGCATGAAATATCTTTTTCCATCCCTTCAGTTTTAGTCTGTGTATGTCTTTGAGTTTAAAGTGAGTCTCCTGTAGGCAGCATATAGATGGGTCTTTTTTTTTTATGCATTCAGTGACTCTGTGTCTTTTGATTGGTGCATTCAGTACATTTACGTTTAGGGTGGTTATCGATAGGTATGCACTTATTGCCATTGCAGACTTTAGATTCGTGGTTACCAAAGGTTCAAGGTTAACTTCCTTACTATCTGAGATTGTAACGTAACTCACTTAGTATGCTATTACAAGCACACTCTAAAGGTTCTTTTCTTTTACTCCTCCTTTTCTTCCTCTTCCATTCTTTATATATTAGGTATATTGTGTACTCTTTGTCTATCCCTTGATTGACTTTGGGGATAGTTAACTTAATTTTGCATTTGCTTGGTAATTAACTGTTCTACTTTCTTTACTGTGGTTTTATTACCTCTGGTGACAGCTATTAAACCCCACGAACACTTCCATCTATAGCAGTCCCTTCAAAATACACTGTAGAGATGGTTTGTGTGAGGTAAATTCTCTCAGCCTTTGCTTATCTGGAAATTGTTTAATCCCTCCTTCAAATTTACATGATAACCTTGCCGGATAAAGTAAGCTTGGTTCCAGGCCCTTCTGCTTCATTGCATTAAATACATCATGCTACTCCCTTCTGTCCTGTAAGGTTTCTGCTGAGAAGTCTGATGATAGCCCAATGGGCTTTCCTTTGTATGTGATCTTATTTCTGTCTCTGGCTGCTTTTAGTAGTCTGTCATTATCCTTGATTTTTGGCATTTTAATCACTATATGTCTTGGTGTTGTCTTCCTTGGATCCCTTGTTGGGAGATCTGTGGATCTCCATGGCCTGAGAGACTATCTCCTTCCCCAGATTGGGGAAGTTTTCAGCAATTACGTCCTCAAAGACACTTTTTATCCCTTTTTCTCTCTCTTCTTCTTCTGGTACCCCTATAATGTGAATATTGTTCTGCTTGGATTGGTCACACATTTATTTCTCTCAATATTCTTTCATTCTTAGAGATCCTTTTTTCTCTCTGTGACTCAGCTTCTTTGTATTCCTCTTCTCTGGTTTCTATTTCATTTATCATCTCCTCCACTGTGTCCAATCTGCTTTTAATACCCTCCATTGTGCTCTTCAACAATTGGATCTCCCGACTGAAATTCATTCCGGAGTTCTTGAATAACTTTCCTTATCTCCATGAGGATGTTAATGATTTTTATTTTGAAGTCCCTCTCAGGAAGATTCATGTGATCCATGTCATCTTTCTCTGGAGTTATATTAATTTTACTTTGACCCAGGTTTGTTTGGCGTTTGATATTTGTATATGGCGCCCTCTGGTGTCCAGACACTCTACTCTCTGGAGCTCATCAGCCCCTGAAGCAATGTCGGTGGTTGCAGGAGAGTGGTATTGGTGCCTGTGGGGAGGAAAGAGCTGTTTCCTGCTTCCTGACGTCTATGCCTGTCTCCACTGCCTGAACCAGTGGGCCAAGCACACAGGTATAAGCCTCTGTGCTTTGTGTTTGTAGTTGCTGTAGACAGATCTTCCCTCTCACTGGCCTAATGCCAGGGTAGGGTTTGCCAGTTTGCGAGCCAGGTGGGGCTTGCTGGGAGAAAGGTGCAGTAGGCTGTGTATCTTGGAGGGGGTCCTTGGAGCTGTGTAGCCAGCCACAGAGCTGGAGCACCTGGAAATCGTGAAAGCTCCCAATCTGCCAGGCAGAGTGCACCCGGACAATTTTGTCTACCTGTCCTTTCTCCTGAGTAGTAAGCTCTGTGCAATCCTTACCCCTTTAGAAGCCGTCTTGCTAAGGGCTTCCTTGTTATGAAGTCTCTCAGACTGTGCAGTTAGGTTTAAACCCTCTATAAATTCGTGGCTTTTTTTGTCTACCGTAGGGTAGATGAGTCTGTGCTCTAGTGATATAGTAATATCCCTCCTGCAGTGCCTCAGTGGGTGGGGCACTCTCCCTTAATGTGTGTCTGTCCCTCCAGCTGTTCTTTATGTGTTTTATCCCTTATTGTGGAAGCATTCACTCAGGCCTCTAACCTTTCTTGGGATTATTGTTCCATGTGTAGGTGTGTATATTAGGTGAGTAGGTGGGAGGAGGTTGACTCAAGATTTTTCTAGACCACCATCTGTGACTGCCTCCTAACATGTTCTCTGTTATTGTTTTATTTAAATATGTTAGGTGAAAAACATTAGGGTGTTGTGCGTCCGGTTCGTGTGTCTCTTACCTTTGTTTTAGGCCCAGAGGCCTAGGCTGCAGAGGGCAATTATTGAGGGTTAGTCTAGACAGAGGACAAAGCAGGGCAGGGCCAACTGTTCAGTTGCTTTCCAGGGCCCTGCTTGTGTAATATTTACTGTCATTTCTTTGGCCAACACAAATCCTGTGGCTGAGCCCAGGTCAGAATGGAGGGTACTACAAGGTAAATGGTGAAGGGTGAGGATACTTGGAGAGTTGAACTGGAATTAGGTAATCTCCCAGAGAAGGCCAAAAATGTAGAAATGAGCAAACTGAATAGAAATACATGAGACACAAATAAATCCCAGATTTGTTGCTGCTTTTGATTTGTTGATTTGTTTTGATGCAGATTTTGCAGATTTTGTGTGAGTATAGCCTTGAGTCTTGCACTTTGTAAAAGTAGCCTTCAGCATTCTCCTGCACTGTCTCTTCCACTGTAGTGCATTTGAACTATATTCAGGTTGTTTTTGCCTACTTTTCCAATTCAACAAATTTGAAATGATTATCCTATTAGGGCATTAATTGAAACTATGTCTTCTAATAAACCTAGTGTCACCTTTAGGAATATCATCAACAGATGTTTACCTTTGTAGTCTATGCAATTGAATATATATAAAATACAAGGACAGTGTATATATGAAAGGAAGCAAAGCAAGAAAATACATTGAAGGGTTAATCTTGCCATCTCTGCAGTATTATTTCCTGGTATGTTTTAAAATATCACAAATGTCACAGTATATTCATAAAAATGAGGCCTCGTCTTTATTTACTTTGACTTACCAAAGTGTTATCATATATAACTATTTTTGAACTATTTTATATCAGTCCAAATATCTTGTGATGTATAGGTTGACATTTCCCTGTTAGAGTCAGAATTTATGTGTGAATTTTTTTTCATGTATAGCTCAGAAAATATCGAGATGAGGATTGATTTTACAGGTAACATTCATTTGCATTTCAAAGCACTAAAAGGCAGATGTCTCATAACATAGTTTCTGTTCTTCCAGAGGTGAACAAAGCACATCAAATTGTTGATTTTTAGTATTTACTTCCAGTGGTGTTTTCAGGTTTCCTTAGAAGACTGCAAACTATTTATAGTTTTGAGTTCTGTTAATATCAGAGTAGTGAGGATTATAAGAAAATTAATTATCTGGTATGTGTGTTTTTTAAAAGGGAAGGGAAGCATTCAGGTAATTTGATACACATTTGGTTAATGAATTCAGCTTTAAAATTAGGCATGTGATAAAAAGTGGAGAAGGACATAAATTTTCATCATTTTTCTATTTTCTTGACTGATTTGGATTTATACTTTTTTATTTATATTTCTTTTTTTTTTTTAGGGAGAAGTAATAGCACTGGATAAAACATTCAACAAAGTAGAAAAAATAAAGCAGAATGCTTTGTTGTTAGGGCTGAATTCCATTAGGACATTTTGTTTTGATGGAACAAAGGCACTTAAACTTGATACAGTTAATAATGCAGAAGGTGAGTTAAGTTTAATCTTTTAAAGGCTTTTATATTTGGCTTTTGCAACAGATTTTGCTATCATCATTTGAATCCTAAAATATCCATATGGCCAAGAGATTTTGCCATAATAGATACCTTTTCACTTACTTCTCATCCCTAAATACCAGGTTTTAATTAAGTTTAGTGTCAAACCCCAAGAGTTTGTCAAGGTTTTTATTGTTGATGTATGTATTTGTTTTAATTTCATGTTACATTTCAGAAAGCTTCTGAACCTTTCAGTGTTAAAATTCCTGAACTGTTTTGTTCTTGAAGAATGGGGCTGCTGAGCTGGGAAGGGAGGAAAAACTGCCACATATCTTGTTTTAGTATAAATTGTTTCATTTATTAAGTCACTCTCTCTCTGTGTCTTTGTTTAGATTTGATTTCATGACATTCTTGAGAAATTTGTATTTCTGATTGGCACAAGTATCATGTTAGTTGCAGGTTTGTTGTATATGGCCTTTGTAATGTTGAGGTTGTTCCCTCTATAGCCACTATGTGTAGAGTTTTTTTTTTTCTTTTTTTTTTTTATGATTAGAATTTTTTTTTTTTTGAGAGAGCATCTCTCATATTTATTGATCAAATGGTTGTTAACAACAATAAAATTCTGTATAGGGGAGTCAATGCTCAATGCACAGTCATTAATGCACCCCAAGCCTAATTCTCGTCAGTCTCCAATCTTCTGAAGCATAACGAACAAGTTCTTACATGGTGAACAAATTCTTACATAGTGAATAAGTTCTTACATGGTGAACAGTACAAGGGCAGTTGTCACAAAAACTTTCAGTTTTGATCACGCATTATGAACTATAAACAATCAGGTCAAATATGAATATTCGTTTGATTTTTATAGTTGATTTATATGTGAATCCCTCATTTCTCCCTTATTATTATTATTATTATTATTATTTTTTAAAATAAAATGCTGAAGTGGTAGGTAGATGCAAGATAAAGGTAGAAAACATAGTTTAGTGTTGTAAGAGAGCAAATGTAGATGATCAGGTGTGTGCCTGTAGACTATGTGTTAATCCAAGCTAGACAAGGGCAATAAAACATCCACAGATCCAGAAGATTTCTCTCACAATGGCGGGGTGAGGTTCTAAGCCTCACCTCTGTTGATCCCCAATTTCTCACCTGATGGCTCCCCTGCGACTGTGCCTGTCTTAGGTTGTTCCTCCCTTGAGGAATCTTACCCGTCTCTGGCTAACCAGTAATCTTCCGGGGCCATACAGGGAAATGTAAAGTTGGTAAGTGAGAGAGAAGCCATATTGTTTGAAAAGGTTAGCTTTTTACTTCTTTGCAGATTTATGCCCTGTGGCTTCTATGCCCAGCATTTGTCTTGAGGTATCTTTACCACTTGGAGGAATTATGATACTGAGTAAATTCGATATGAGGCATGAATTCTATTTAAGGGTTGTAATTAGGAAGGAAGAAGAAAAGCTATAGAGGTAGCAGATGGAAGAAAACATGGGAAGATTGAATATTTCTTTGACATATCTTCTTGTAGAGTAACTTAAGCATGTATAGGTTTTAAACTACTAATTAAATCGCACACACACATTAGCATAATAGGAATACAGTTACATAACCAAAGCAGATCTATAATTACCAGCCATCTCCAGTGAAGCCAAGAAAATCAGTTAGGCACCCTAGTCATTTGTGAAAATTAATCTTTGATATGATGGATATTGTCCAACTGTACTTGAACAGTCTGAGAGAAATCAGACAATTTAAAACAACCCATTCCTGGGAACTGTTCACATCCCATATGTTCTTTTAACAGTAGATAGTCTGTAGTTGTAAGATTTTGGAGCGCTACAACTTGCACTTCTCCTAATTCTTGGTTGAGTTCCAACAGTATAGATCCAGTCAAATTTGTTGTTTTGCTGGATGCACAGGCCAGCTTAGATATCTCCTCCTTCATTCTAATGGTAAGTCCAAGAACCGGTGGGATGAATGCAGCTACACCTGCAGAATCGCCTGGATCTTTGTTGAGGTTTTTTGATGATCATCTTCCAGTATGAGTCTTCCAGAGAGTGCTGATGTTGGAAGTTCTTCTACATATCGTATCTTAGTTCATTTTCTGGGTAGCCAAATTAGGCTTTGATCCTCTGTATAAACACAAACAGACCCTTTGCCCACACTTTGATATGCCCTTTATATAGAGTTTTTTTTTATTGTGAATGGATATTGAATTTTGTCAGATGCTTTTTCTCTTGAGATTACTGTGATTTTTATTCTCCATTTTGTTAATGTGTATCACACTGATTGATTTGTGGATATTGAACCATCCTTAGAATAAATAACCCTGGAGTAAATCCCACCTACTCATGCTAATTGACCCTTTTGGTATATTTTTTAATTCAGTTTGCTAATACTCTGTTGAAGGTTTTTGATCTCTGTTCATCAGGGATCTTGGTTTGTAATATTCTTTTTTGCAGTGTCTTTGTCTGGTTTTGGTATCAGGGTAACAGACTTGTAGAAGGAGCTTGGAATTGTTCTTTCCTCTTCAGTTTTTTGGAATAGTTTTAGAAGGATAGGCCTAAGTCTTTTTTAAATGTTTGGTAGAATTCTCTTGTGATTCCATCTGGTTCTGTAATTTTTTTGTTTTTTTGGGGAGGTTTTGGATTACTGCTTCACTTTAATTACTAATAATAGGACGATTCAGATACTCTATTTCTTCCTGATTCAGTTTTGGAAGATTATATGCTTCTAGGAAACATTTCTTCTGGGTTGTCCAATATGTTGGCATATAAAATTTTGTACTAGTCTTGTTTATCCTCCACATATTTGTGTTCCAGTTTTCTTATATTTGATTTCTAGTTTCATAGGGTTGTGGTCAGGAAGGATGATATGACTTCAGTCTTCTTAAATTTATTGTGACTTATTTTGTGGCCTAACATGCTGTCTACATTGGAGAATGTTACATGTTCCCTTGAAAAGAATGTGTATTCTGCTGTTTTTGAATGAAATAGTCTATGTATTATCTGTCTAATATATGTAAATCAGAGCCACTGTTTCCATATTGATCTCCTGTCTGGATGATCTGCCCACTGAAGTAGAGTGGGATGTTGAAGTCTCACTTTGGGTTTTGGTTTATGGTTACTGTGAGGTTCTTGTAGAGCATGCATCCTGTCTGTGTATGACAGCAGTTTATATTAGGCTGGCGGTTGCTTGAGTTCAAACACATTGTGAAAGAACTATATCTTTGTAACCCTTCCTTTTATGTTTTATATATATGACATATATATATATATATATATATATTTTTTGAGAGGGCATCTCTCATATTTATTGATCGAATGGTTGTTAACAACAATAAAATTCTGTATAGGGGACTCAATGCACAGTCATTAATCAACCTCTAGCCTATATCTCAACAGTCTCCAATCTTCTGAAGCATAACAAACAAGTTCTTACATGGTGAACAAGGTCTTACATAGTGAATAAGTTCTTACATGGTGAACAGTGCAAGGGCAGTCATATCACAGAAACTTTTGGTTTTGATCACGCATCATGAACTATAAACAATCAAGTATATGACATTTTATATCTTTCTATTTTGTGTATCTCAACTAATTTTTATGAATGTGCTTGATTTTACTACTTTTGTCTTTTTTTTTCATATCAATCTACAATTACATGAGGAACATTATGTTTACTAGGTTACCCCCTTCACCAAGTCCTCCCCACAACCCCCATTACAGTTACTGTCCATCAGCGTAGTAAGATGCCATAGAGTCACTACTTGTCTTCTCTGTGTTGCACAGCCCTCCCCGTGCCTCCCTCAACATTATACATGCTAATCGTTAATACTTTTGTCTTTTAACCTTCAAACTAACTTTGTAAGTTATTGAGGAGAGTGAGCTCTCTGTTCTTAATTTCTGCCTCTCCCCTTGGACAAGATCTTTGCCCACTGCTCCAGAGGTGGGGACACAATAGTAGCCTGGTTCTCTTGGAGTGACTCTTGATGAATGAGCCCAGTTCTAGGCTGGAGCCACAGCCTGTTGTGCTGTCAGCCTGCCTCTAAGCATGAAACCTCTTCACAATCAGTATGTTGGGGGTGAGGGCAGTCAGGACTTTTGTATTTTTAGCCACTGTTCCTGGGGGTAGAGCTGCCACCTGTGAGTGGTGGCTGCATGGAGGAAGGCAGTTCTGGATTTGTCAGCTGCTCTTACCTTGAATTGAGCTTCTGCAACATAGGACTTGGGGGTATAGAGTATGAGAAATGGTGGCAGACCTACCCCTCCCAAAGAGATACCATACTTGTTGACTGGGAGCTTAGGGAGGAGGGAGCTGCGTGTTCTTGGCTGTGCTTATAGGAAGTGGCTCTTCTTTCTCCCTAAGCTTAGAGGGAAGGGTTGGCTGTTAGCAGAGATGGGAGTGGGCTGTGGCTGTCATGCCAAAGATTCTCACATTTCTTAGATTTTTAAAAATGAATGTTTCTGCATTTGATGCATGTCCTGGACATTTTCCAGAGACTAAATGGTGGTTTGGTTTGGTTTTGTAAGTTTTAATAGTTATGGTTGTTTCTCTGGGGAGAAGATCTGCAGAACTCCTCATGCCCTCAATTGCAAAATTTTGTCAATCTCATTTATTTTTATCATAAAGTTTCTCCTAAATTATACATGACCCCAAAATAATGCAGTTTGAGAAATCACTAAAAGCAGTTGTAAGATATATAAGAAAAAGGTTTGAATGTATAAAAATGCTGGTACTCTTGCACTGCTTATAAGCCTCTTGCACTGCCCAGTTTATCCCATGCCTTTCTAGTTTTGAGTAAGAGAAATTTCTCTTATACCAGGTGCATTTGGGGGTCATTTTGGTGATCTTGGTCTGACCTAAGACAAGTATAGAATGTTTTTATTAATTTCTTAATTCAACTTCTGTATAGTCAACCTGCACCTTATTTGAAAGTTGTACTTATTAGTAACAGCGAGCTCACTGATTTGCCATTGCTGTAGCCATTATCAGGGCCA